TTGATATATTGAATATTTATTAGTTTGTAAATATATGTATAATAAAATTAATGTTTGGAATTGATATTATACGATTGTCAAGTAAAACCCCCCGATCCGTCATTTATGTTAAGATAATTAACTTATCGTTAAAAGTATAAAGTCGTGAAATAATTTACCCTGGGAATTGTAAAGTTTCATTTCAATATATTTTAGCTTCGATGCGTAGCGGAGAAGGTATTAATTTTACTATTTTTTTTTTTTTATGTCTGTTGCCACTTTTTCTCAGCTCTCACTGGACCGATTTCTTTGAAAAATACGTCAAAAGATCACAAATCGTATCTAGTTGAAGACATTACCCTTAAAAATTGAAAAAATTTCCCTCGTTCCCCGTAAATGGGGGAAATATCCAAAAAAATTACAAATTTAAAAATCGCTAATTTTCGAAATTTTTTCACTTTTTTTTCTTAAAACTTCCATAACTTTTTGAAAAATCAACAAATCAACATAATTTTTTTTTATACTAAAACCTTAGATATTTACCTTTCATTTGATATCATTTTTTTGAAAATCTATCACTTAACCTGCTCATTAGAGGGGATTTAAAATAGCAACTTTTTTACAAAAATTAATTTTTTCAACTTAATTTTTGAAAATGTTCCGGAAATACTGCGTCCTTTAAAAATATATTAAATTAAAGCTTATTTTATGTACTATAAAATGAAAAAAAAAAATTTGTCCTGACACTTTTTTTTCTACATTTAAACGGCTGCCGTAGTTAAAAAAACACTATTTTTGTGTTAAAATTTTCGATTTTCGATTTTTAATTTTCAACTTAAAAATGCTATAACTTTTTGAAAAATGTATATATCAGCACAATTTTTGTTTTCTAAATACATTATAAGTACATCTTTCATTTGACATACTTTTTATTAAAATTGGACAATTTCCCCTTATATAGGACGCGTTCAAATGTTGAAATATTGTAAAAAATATAGAACTTTTTCAACTTAACTTTTGAAAGTGTTCCGGAAATACTGCGTCCTTTAAACATATATAAAATTAAAGCTTATTATATGTACTATAAAATAAAAAAAAAAAATTTGTCCCGACGATCTATCTTCTATGTGCAAATGGCTGTCGAAAATTAAAAAAAAATGTAATGTTTGCGATAAATATTACCTTTTATCGGAATGTTTTTTGTGCTTAAAACTGTCATAACTTTTTCAAAAATTAACAAATAAAAATAATATTTTCTTGTATTGAAACCTTAGATATTTCCCTTTCATTTGATATAATTTTTTTTGAAAATCTAACACTTATTCTGTTCACTGGGGGGATTTAAAATAGTAACTTTTTTACAAAAATGAACTTTTTCAACTTAATTTTTGAAAATGTTCCGGAAATACTGCGTCCTTCAAACATATATAAAATTAAAGCTTATTTTATGTACTACAAAATGAAAAAAAAAAATTTGTCCCGACGACCTATCTTTTATACGCAAATGGCTGCCGTATTCAAAAATATGCTATTTTTGTATTCAAATTATGGGTTTTGTATTTTATTTTAATAGAAGTTGATGTTAATTTTGCAATTATCCATCAATTTTTTAAAATTAAACACTATCTACAGATTTGCATCGAAGCGTTTCTTATGATAGTGATTTTAATCACTGTCAGATTAAATCTATCTGGACCCAACTATGCAATGTCTCCACTATGCCGCGACCCCACTGTGCTACCGTTTTATAGTGAAAACGTGTTGACTCTAATAAAAAATTATTTAGTAATTGATATATCAAAAATATGTTTAACTACAAAAAAAAAATATTATATAAAGTTATTTTACCAGTGAATGAGCAGTTATGAGTTTTTCATCTTTTACAGTTCATCATTATTTAATTTTGATGATATACTCATTAAGCTAAAAATTTTTTCTCTTGAAATTTCTCTATAGTAATGATGTGAAAATATTTAAAATTAACTAACACAAATATTTTAATTTACAACTTTATATTAAAAATTTAAATTTACATTTGAATGAAAAGCTAACATTATACAAAAAACTAAGATATTGAGGTAATGCTAAGTTTAAAAATTTTTTAATGTTATAATAACTACTAAAATCAACTTATTAAAGTCAAATGAATATAACTTATATCTAACTTCAAGTGCGTCTACTAACACACACAGGGCCGGATTTACCCCAAAAGCGCCCCTAGGCTAATAAGGAACAAACACCCACTTCTTTGAACACAGATTGAATAAGAGCTGAGCTGATCGCCCCCTCCCAATTTACTTAAAAATTTGTATTTTCTAATGTATAATGTATAGTAACTTTAAAAGTTTTTAAAAGTTAACGTAAAAAAATTATGCATTGAAATTTTGTAGTTTAAATTATGATGATAAAAAAATCAATCATGCATAAATTATAATTAATGAATAATAATAAAAATTAATTATTATATTTTTATTCTGTTAATAAACGGTTAATTTAGTAAATACAATTGTCAACTTATTAATTGTAATATAGGTTTGTAATGTTTGGTTTAACTATGAATTTCTTAATCTATTATTACAAAAATATAATATAGTCTATTATTTGTAAACCTAGAAATAGAACACTTATGTAATGTTTAGATTAATTGTAATTCCCCAAATTATTGTTACTAGACCAAGAAGTAATTATTTATAAACATTTTTGAAAATTATGGCAATATGATTCTATTATTTGTAAACCTAGAAGTAGAACACTTTTGTAATGTTTGGATTAATTGTAATTCCCCGAATTATTGTTACTAGATCAGGAAGTAAATATTTATAAACCTTTTTGAAAATGATTACTATATGAATTTTATAAAAAGACAAACAAAATATTTTAGTATATACGATGAAACGGAATGAATTAAAAGAGAAGAAAGAAAAGACCTCGGGAGTACTGAAGGTAATCTATTTCCGTGTGGTACGTTAGTGACATTAAGTTTTTATTTTGTGTATTATTTATTTATCCGGTTTTAAGTGTATCAATATTTTATATGTTTTATTTTGATTGATTATATCTTTATTAACTACATTTTGCGTAATTTTTGAACTACTAAAACTATAAGTTAGAACAAAAAGATTGTTCCATAATTTAAATACAAAAAAGTGATATATTTAAATACAACATAATGTAAACAACAAAAATGTGCACCGTTATAAAAAATAAAAAACATTAGTTAATGAAACAATACGTTTAGCGTTTTCTTGATATAATTGCTCGACATAATTTGTACGACCGCCGTCGAAGAGTATTATTTTAGATAATGTATACCGTCGTGCCGTAGCTACCCTGCCCAATCACATTATATATATTGTAGAATATATTCTTGCTAGTTTTATAATTTTACAACAGTGAGCAACTAATTTAACAAAATAACTACATTAATTCTAATAGATGGAAAATCAAATTCGTAGAAAGGAATTATATCTAAAAAAAATCGTGAGTTTTTCTAGCCGCAGCGCCCCTTCAAGTTGTGGCCCCCTAGGTTATAGCCTAGTTAGCCTAGTCCAAAAGTAAAATAAATTTAAGTTTCACCTTGAGTAGATTTAATATAGAGTTGTACTAGATATATAGTTATACGCGAGTTAATATAACTTATATCTAACTTCAAGTGCGTCTACCAACACACACAGATACATACCACTAATAGTGACATCAACTACATAATTTAACACAGCAGAATATTTGTCTTATTAGGATAATTAGAGGTAGGTGAAAACATTTATTTATATAACAAATTTATAATAAACCCTTCACCGAAGGATTTTTTTAGTAATAAACAATTAGAGTGACGTAAGTTGTTGAAAGCAAATTAAGTAGAATAATTGTGTAGAGAAGTACGATATTTGTGATTCACATAAATTCGTATATTCATTTTTGTGCTTATAGTACTGATTTTTTAGATTTAGATCCTTTGTTATGGAAAGGCAGCAATCAATATAGAAAAGGAAAAAAAATTTGTAAATGATTTGACAGAGAGTAGTGTGAAGTTCATCAAAGAATATAATAATATTTTAACAAAAGATGAAGCACAAAAACAATACCTACTACAGATTGTTACAGAATATCGGCGTTGTTTTCCTAATTGCAATAAAAGCATATTATGTCAAGATTTCTAAAATCGGGAAAATTTTTGAATATCTAGTTTATTTTTTCATAGGTTTTTTTATTTGTAAAGTAGTTCTTAGTATTTTATTAATACGCAAGTCTGAATTTTTTTTCTATAATTTTAAAAATTATTCAATGTATCTTATGAATAATAAATGGTAGAAAAAAATGTTAAATTAAAAATATATAGAATATTTAAAATTAACGGTCACCCTAGTATTCATTTTGGTTTTGTTATTGCCAAAACGACAGTAAGACGACAGATAGCATTTTTAGTTGTGATGTGACAAATTAAAATTTATGATGTTTAATAAAAACTATACAAGGCTTAACTCAAAATCAAACCAAACTACTTTTAATTCGAAGCTCATTTTATTAAGTTTTAAGTTTGGAAAAAAATCGAAAAATTATATCAGAATATCGGTTTGAAATCTGTTAAAGTTAAAAATCGAATCGAATATTCTTAGCCCAATTACAACCATTTTGTAGTTACTTTTTGTCACAGTGTTTAAGTTTTATTGTATTTAAAATATTGGTACGGTTCTAAAGTATTTTTGTTATAAATATTTATAAGTATTGCATAAATAAACCATTTCCAGTTGCATGCATTAAATGTTACTTTAATCTATTATTGTTGTAATAAAAGTTGCGTCAATGTTAAGTAAAATATTTATAATACAATTTATTTTTAGCATATAATGTAAGTAATATTGATACAAAACAATCACAATATATTTTTTATTTTAATATACTATCTTGATATCAATAATTACATACCTTAATACACTGTACGTACCGGTCATTACCTTTTTTAATAAAATGAACTCTTTGGGATAGGACTTCTTGAAAAAATATGCTTTTAATATACATTTTTTAACAAAGCTATTATTATTTGCAAAAAGTTTAATAATGAAATTAAAAGTTTATTTTACATATTATTTGACTAATTTTTGACTTCTAAAAATGTTGAAAAATTTTATTTTTTATTTATATTATTCATTTGTCTTTCTAGGATTTTCGAATTTATTTTGAGAGATCGTTTGATATAAATAACCTAAAAAAAAAGAGTACAATTAATAATATAGTAAAGATTAAACATATTTAAAACTATGTTGATTGAAATGTGAAAGTGATTAAAATGTTCGTCATATAAACGCTCAATGCAAACAGAGGATGAAACTATTTTAGGAAGCACCTTCAAGTACCCTAAAAAAAATCGGTTATTTAAAAGTTTATTCGTTCTGTATATTTTATTTAAATTTATTTTTTTACAATTTTTTTTTTTCTTGAATTACATTATTATCTATATGTGCTCCAAGTGCAAAATTAAATTTAGAGCTGTTTGGCGGGCAAGTATTGGTGAGTTGGCAATACTTCCGCCCTATCCGCCATTCAATATCTCAGTATATCTTCTGCCATTGAAAAATTTGTATAAGGTTAATTAGGTTAGGTGTTATTACGGTGTTTTTCGTTGGGTTGGGTTAATTTTTCGTCTCAATTATGTTCATGGTAATTTTTTGCTGAATTTTGATTTTGTCTTCCAGTTCACAGTTTCTTGATTTAGCGTTTTTTCAGTCGTATTATGGAAGAATCAATAAATTAATAAAAATCGACGTTGTATTTTATTTATTAAATTTCAGTTGATTTTTTCATCATTTTAGGTTCTATATTTCATATTTTGGATCAACATATGGAAGTGCTGTATTGAACTAAAATCTTATCGTTGTTTGTGGTTGAAATTTTCTTGCTTAGTAGAATAGTTGATTTTTGAGCTTTTCATTGCTTTAGTCTTTGTAGTTAGATCCTTAAAGTATAAGTCCTATCTATTGTAGTCGTACAGACTCTGTTGTATTGCATCTTATTTAGTACTTATTTTTATAAGTAAACGATACTCCAGATTTGGGTTGGGTAAGAATATTATCATATTCTTCTTCATTCACGTTTTTGTTCAACGCTATATTTGTCATTTATGTGGTTGACGCACCGAACAATATTCATACTATTTATTAATGCTATATTTTATTACATCGTTTAAATTTAAATTACTAACCATAGGTTAATTCATAATTATTATTATTATTGCATGGGCTAATAGCAATAAAAGATAAGAATTTTTTTTTTTTTTGTGTTTACAGCCTTTTAGACCCCCATTCAATACAATTTTGCGCTAATATATTCCAATCCGGATAGAAGTCTGCTACATCGTTCCTTTCTTTTTCCCTTTTGATTGCCTTGTAAAATCAGCTTTAGGTTTCCTCCACAAGTGACCTGCCCATTCCAATATTTTTCTTTTTATCTTATTTATTATATCTGGCCTGTTGTACAGGTCACTTAGTTCATCATTGTGTCTTTTACCTCATTCCCCTGTTTGTGGATCAATACAGGGTTCATATATTCTTCTTAATATTTTCCTTTCGAAATCTTTGAGTTTAGACTTATCACTTTTTCTTATAGTCCAACATTGCGCCTCATATAGTACTATAGATCTTATCAGCTTGATGTACAGCTGGATTTTTCGTTTTTTTGTGAGTGTTCTTGACTTAAATAAGTTTTCCAAGTCGTAATAACATTTGTTGCCCATTTGAATCCTTTTTAGTATCTCATATTCCATATTGGTTTATTGGATGATCATTGTACTTCCAGTATGTAGGGCTGTGGGTGCACTACATTCCCAATGTCATATTCCTACTAGAATCATCCGCCAGGAACTCTCTACCAGTAGGAAGCTCGGGGCCCCGGATTCGCCTAACCTAAAAAACTAATAAGACGAAACCTAACTCGGCGAATAGTTATCCAAGTAGTCATTGAGTATACTTAATAAAACAGACTGTATTATTCAGTGATTTTAAACTATTTTAATTTTTTTAAGATATTTTTAATAATAAAATAAATTAAGATTTTTTTTTTTAAATTTTGGAAAATAATGTGTTCAACTTCTATGGTGTAATTAGACTATTATGACTTATAGTTGAATAAAACCGGTTCGGTAGATGCTTATATAATGTGACAGATGCAAAAAAATAATTTCATAGTAAAATTGATAACATCTTATGTTCGCATTGAAGCTAAAATAAATTTCAATGAAAAATATATTTGTAACACATTTTCATTGAAATTTTTAATAAATATAACTGTATATCTATAAAACCTGTTTTGTTACATCCTTTGCAAAGTCTGCTATTTATATTCCATTCATAACATTTAGAACAGAATTTCTTTTGACAAGATAATCTTTCATATATATCTTCTTGTTCGGGTATTTTATTTCCACAAGCAAAACATACTAAAAGGATAAAATATAGTGTAATTATTATAAATTCACAATTTTATATAAATACATTTAAAATTGACACGACTTACATCGTGTTGAGGGTAGTAGAGACTCGTGGGCCGTTTATAAATAAGTAACTACAGATTATTGAAAAAAAAACAACCCGAAAAGACGAACGCAGTTAATAATATACTTCGCATAATATTGTGGCACTTTTACTAGTGTTGGCGACTCGGTGTCCGGCATTATCCTCGGCCGTCTAAAAGTTAGCAGCGTTGAAGTCGAGTGCGGATCGGTTCGTCGAGTCCGGTCATGCGCCACGTCCGAAGCCGGTGGTGTACATCCTCGACGTTGTCACTTTGACGACGGGAAGAAGACTTAACGGATCTTTTGCGGCGGGTGGTCGTCGGCCATGTGGCACTTGCTGGACTTTGCACCGCGGCGTATGGCACGCGGTGTTGGTCAGTCAAATACTCTTAAAATAGGGCGACGGCTGATAAAGGTGTCATAAGGTCGCGGGACATCGTGTATGACGAAGCGACGAGGGGCCGTGTCAAAATTTAAAAACAATTTTATAATAAAAACTATATAAACTTAAAAATTGAATTATTGAAAAATTTTATACTTACGATAAAAACCTATACAAAATATTGTTAATATTAATATAATAATAAATGAATAATATATTATTAGTATCTTGTATAATCTTCTATTAGTACGTTTCACTTAATCGATGATTTAAACATAGATTTAATTTATTTAATGTCATAAACAAAAACTACAAAAAGTAGCTTTTTTTATACTAAGAGGAAATTTTAATATAACAAAACATACCATCTATATGATTATGGCAAACGGGACATTTTCCTTTCTTATTTACTTTTATCCATCCATCAAGACATTTTTTACAAAACTTACTGGAGCAACAATTAACTGTAGTAGTAGTTTTTAATGGAAAATGACAAATGGGGCATTCTAAAAACACAAAGATTGATAAAATAATATATAGGTTATAAATACTAAATTTTAGAGATCAGTTTAATATTGTAATTTATACATTCGTATGTTATAAAATAACATAAATTGTAATAAGGTTAAAAATGTTTAAGTATTATAACAATTTAATTCATTAAAATTAAAATGGACTACAAATATAATATAAGACAATAATAACGATGCAACGCTGTTTACATTACAATGTACAGTGACGTAAGAAAAAATAACACATACCAGCCTACTATTTAATAATACTAAATAAGCATGAATCATAAATGTTTTACTTAACAATAAAGTAAATGATTTTACAAAATTTTTATTTTTATTTAAACATATAAGAACTTACCAGGTTTATCTTTTCTTTTTCCTTTGGTAAAATGTCAATAAAAATATACATAATTATTAATATTATAAAATAGCCATTATTAACCGGTACTTAATTGAGTTACAAGCATTTTAATACTCAAGTAGGTATAGAACGCTATTGGATTATAAGTACAACCAATATGAACTACTATTTTTTTTTATTGTCTGTTATATAGACAACTATTAAGTACAGTAAAATGATGAATTGTAATATGTTATAAGAATTGTATGTTAATTTAATAAAAATATGTAGTTTCTCTATTATAAATAACAATTGCATTTATAAAAAAGGCCTACATAAAAATGGAAAAAACAATGGGGAGTTAAGTGAATTTACTAGAAGTTAAAAATTTACTTACCAAAACAAGATAATTCTAAATCATTCAATAAACAATAAACAAATTAAATAATTGTCATGTCGAAAAAGTTCAACTACTACGATAAAATATTTTTTCGATATTTAAAAAATCAAATGGTAATATAATTTCATTATTTATTTAAAATAATATTAATTTGACAAAAAAAAGATATTACTTAAAATATTTATTTTAAATGTTATACCTTCAGATAGTACAAAAAAAGATAGTAAAATTGTTATAGATAAAAATTTTGAATTCTAAAAAATAATTTAAACGTATAATGATTTTTTTTAAATTACAAAATTGAATTTTATATTGAATTTTCATACCATGTTTGAATAAAAAATGCACAACTAACAGAATAAAATTTATACAATACAACAAGATCTAAAGTTATTGATGAAATAGTATTATCAATATATTAACGCAACATCATCTATTAAATGAATGCTACATTTTGCTAAATCCATCTTTATTTACATAGCTGTATAATGATTCAATTATTTGTAGGAACACATTTTAATACATGTAATAACTAATACACACACTCAATAAATTTATATTACCAAAACAGTGTGTCCCGAGGATGAGATATAAAAAAAACCCAGCATAGGGGGGTCGTGGCATAGATGGATCAAGTATAATGATATCTGACAGTGATTAAAATCACTATCATAAAAAACGCATCGATGCAAATAATTAGATAGTGTTTAATTTTAAAAAATTTGATACATGTAATAACTAATACACACACTCAATATATTTATATCACCAAAACAGTGTGTCCCGTGGATGAGATTTTTGTGTACTATAAAATGCAATTTTTTCAAAGAAAACCAGTATGCTCTTGATTACAACTTTATTACTAATTTACGCCGTTATAAATTATATTTTTAGTCACTGGCACTTAGAAGTATTTCCTATAAATCTTATTTTCGGTCGAACACTTTTTGGTGATACAAAAATTTGAACGCATGAAACACAATGGTATTTGCTTTATTTATTTATATATTATATACCCTACACATTTTAAAAACACATGGTTGGATTGTATTTTGTCTAAACTTTTTGAAGGGCCATAATCTGGATGAACAGAATAAAAGCATAATAATATTATAATCAAAGTTATAATTAATTATAAGCATTTTTTTGTAGTAATACAAAAAAAATATAAGCAATAACGGTGTATGGGGAATTTTATTTGACCAAGGTTGGATGTTAGGGATTTGGTCAATTCAGGAGCAACGAGGTTCTATCGGGGTTGTAGAGTCCGAGGGTTTAGAACAATAAAGACAAGTAGATATAAAAAGAATTTATTAAAGTTTCTCTATAGAGATATTACAAATGATCTAACTGGTAAGTACCTGAAATAATACACTGAGGCAACGAAGAGGCGGTGGCCATCTCACGAATACCCAGTCGAAGTGTTTATATATACAGTAGAAATCACATTAGGTTTTAAACTCTTTTAGGCAACGAAGAGGCGGTGGCCATCTCACGAATACCATGTAATGTGATTATGTATAAGGTACGAACTAGTCAACAACAATTAATAAAGTTTGAATATAAATATGTGATCTATTGCTTTATCATTCTTTACTCAGATTATTAATTCTAAATAATTGGGTTAATATAAATTTACTTACTTTTTTATTTGGCTTGTACAAAGATCGTCAAAGTTTGCGTAAATATTTATACTATCTCTTTTAAATAAATAAAGTGTTAACGCAAAANTCAATTTAACATATATAATAGCTATTGTACAAATGTGTATATGTTATGACAGATAAATTAATTATTTGTTTGTATACTAGTAATATAAAATACAGATTATACATTTTTCATTGATAAATGTAAGATGCGTAATGCAAAGCATTAGGCATATTACGACATTTTTATGTTAATGTTTAGCGATAAATAATGTTTAAAAATTAAACATAATTTAAAAGTTTAAAAATTAAATATTATAATTTAAACATTTAAAAATTAAACGTTTAAACGTTTAAACTTTAAATACACATTGAGATATATAAACGTTTAAAATTTAAAATATAAACAATTTTCAATATACACGTTTATTCAACATTTAAAAATTACGTGTTTAAAGTTTAACATTTAACAAATAAATATTTAAAAATTAAATTTTTATTAAACATTTAAAATATTAAAGTTTAAATTTAAACATTTAAAAATTAACATTAACATAAAACGTTAATTAAACATGTAATGATATAGAATTTGACTAGTTCTTTTTAGTTGAATCTTATCAGTTAATGGTGTGTGCATCAAGTATTAAGTAAGTCCCCAATTATAAAATTAACTTATATACCAGTCAACCGATCCAATGGTCAGTACCCGCTTTGTTGTTACAGTTAACCGCACACAGTGCATCCCTACATTTATAATATTAACCAGTTCAAAGTTGACACCAACACCACCCGGCGTCATGATTACCGGCTGCTATAAGATACCATGACAACTCGCTTCTTCACAACTATATTACCGAGTTCCATGAAGTGCCTTATTAGCTTCGATGCGAAGCTGAGAAGGTATTAATTTTACCATGATGTGTTTATTTTTTTTTTTTTTTGTATCTGTCACTACTTTTTCTCAGCTCTCGCTGGACCGATTTCTTTTAACAATACGTCAAAAGATCGCAAATTGTATCTAGTTGAAGACATTTACTTAAAAATTTAAAAATTTTCCCAGGTTCCCTGCAAATGGGGGAAATATCCAAAAAAAAATACAAATTTAAAATTATGTCATATAGTATAAAATGAAAAAAAAAAATTTGTCCCGACGCCTTATCTTCTATGTGCAAATGGCTGTCAAAATTAAAAAAAAAATGTTATGTTTGCGATAAAAATCCCCTTCCATCGGGATGTTTTTTGTACTTAAAACTGCAATAACTTTTTCAAATATTAATAAATCAAAATAATATTTTTTTATATTGAAATCTTAGGTAATTTCCTTCTATTTGATAACATTTTTTTTGAAAATCTAACACTTATTCTGCTTACAGGGGGGATTTAAAATTTAAACTTTTTTACAAAAACTAACTTTTTCATCTGAATTTTTGAAAATGTTCCGGAAATACTGCATCCTTTAAACATATGTCAAATTAAAGCTTATGTCATGTCCTATAAAATTAAAAAAAAAAAATTTATCCCGACGACCTATCTTCTATGCACAAATGGCTACTGTATTCAAAAATATGCTATTTTTGTATTAAAATTTGGGTTTTGTATTTTATTTTATTTTAAAATATCTTATTATAATTTAATTAACATAGAATAAAATTCATTAGACATAAGAAATTAAACTTATTAACATTTTTTTTATTTTTTTAAAGTCCAAAAAGTAATTTTTAAATTTGAGTTAGCTTAAATAGACAATTTTATTAAGTGACGAAAGCAACGAACAGTTGCCGAATCGGTAACATTTGTGTTTTTCACACGTAGGGTACGAGGTTCAAATCCGACTGTAGCAATAAATATTTTGCATATTTTTTTGAGTTAGAATAAAATTTTCAAATCATTTGATATTTATCTCATTTAGATTCAATAACTTCAATAAATATTAAAGATCCCATCACTTTAGTCTCCCCTCGTGAGAAGAAATATCTTATTTATGTTAATATTATTTTACTACACCCAAAGAAAAACCTCAATTAATTTTGTTAGAGAAATTTTATCAAGGGTTTATGATAATGTTTTATTAATACGAATGAAATAATTATTCTTATGAATAATTATTGTTCAAGACAAGAAAAAAATCATTATATTCATAAATATATCATTTTCAATAGTAATGATATATTTATCAAATTGAACAATGAATTTATTATATAGATCGAGGTTTTTCTTTGGGTGTATGTGGTTCTTTTTGTGGCTACGATTTATTTTTCCAACCCTCACTAGACATACTTTTTTCAACGATACGTCAAATTATTACAATTTGTATTTAGTTAAAGTTATTACTCTTAAAAATCGAAAAAATATTCCTTATTCAAATAAAAAGTAGCTTAACCAGCTTTTTCCATACAAACAATTAAAATCATTAATTTTTAATATTCATAAAGTATTTATTATCGAATTAGTTTTAATATGATAAAAGTATTCAACTACAAAAGTAAATAATTTTACTCTATAATTTATTAATTTTTTAACTCTATTTGTGTGTGCTACTACCGGTCTATAATATTCCAAATTTTTTTGTAACATGTTGCTATATAAATCATAAATTTAAAAAAAAAAAGATTTTTAGTTTCACCTGAATTTAACAATGAATTTTTACAATTATAATCAAATTTTATAATACGCTCAATCGAGTAAATCTTTTTAACAACTTATTTTTATTTTTTTTTATAGATATATAATCATTAAAATTAATTAAATTCTGAATATATCCATTGTAGAATCTTTTTAAACGCCAAAAGTTAATTAGAAATAGACTTTATTTTATCTTCATGGTGAAAACAGACATCAAAGTTTATAAAAAAAATACGATTTTTGTAAAAAAATTCATTTTTATATTTTTAACTTTATAATGCTATAACTTTTTGAAAGATCTATGGATCAATATAATTTTTTTTTTATAGATGCATGATGTCTTTATCTATCATTTGGTATATATTTTTTTTATATCTGACCATTTACCTGCCTACAGGGGGGATTTAAAATGACCACTTTTTCACAAAAAATTTATTTTTTCAACTTAAATTTTGAAAGTGTTCTGGAAAGTCTGACACTTTTATATATATATTAAATTAAAGCTAATGTAATTTACTTTATTATGCGAAAAAAAAATTTCGGACTTTATTTTATCTTCACGGTGAAAATGGCTACCAAATCAAATTATTGTGTGAAAATTCTCGATTTTATTTTTTACATTTTTAACTTTATAATGCTATGACATATTGAAAAGTGTATGGATCAACATTATTTTTTTATGAGAAATAATATTTTTTAATAATCCCTTTTTCATTCTACATACTTTATCTTAATTAGGATATTAATAATGAACTAGCAGATAATGTAGCTTTTAGAATAGTCCACCAATTTTTTAAAATTAAACAGTATCTAAAGATTTGCATCGAAGCGTTTTTTTTTGATAGTGATTTTAATCACTGTCAGATATCATTATACTTGATCCATCTATACCACGTCACCACTGTGCCGCGACCCCCCTGTGCTGGGATTTTTTATTAAAATAAACGTCGATAAGTCCACGATGGCGTGAGGCGCGGACTATGGCCGGTGGTGGGCCGGCACTCCTCAAGAAATCAAGTACAATATGAAACCCCTTTTTCAACCCTCTGTCGTAATATGCCTAATGCTTTGCATTACGCATCTTACATTTATCAATGAAAAATGTATAATCTGTATTTTATATTACTAGTATACAAACAAATAATTAATTTATCTGTCAT